CTATCTTATGCTTAGGTAGTATAAAGCAAAGTCGAGAGTTTTTGTCTTGGCTAATCGTGAAAAGTACTCAAAAGATTTGGACCAGATTTTGTTTAGTATAATCAGTATCGATTACGGGTATTATCTTTAGTACTTAGAATATCTATAGGGTTGCCACCTGTGTAAAAAGGTATAGGGAACTTGAGTTACAAAAAGTGAGATGTCAAACGAAAAGGCTTGGCCTCTCGGCGTTCAATAATGTATAATTGTTTGAATTATTGAGAATGAAATCAGGTCAAACGCATTGAAAGTTCGCGCATTATTAACGCTGCCAGCGAATAAGGAAAAGTTGTTATACATACCTACGTGCCTTCCTTGTTTGAAGCCTAGTAGTAGTATCAGGCATTGGAAACGGGTGGCAAAAGGCTACACACATTACCTATTCATAGTAGCAAGTGGGAAGTTTGAGATAACATAATCCCAACAGATGTTCCTGCGGATGACTTCAGACTGAAATCGAAATATTGACAAATTAAAAACGAATGTAAAATCAATCAATCTGTCTGATTTTCATGTGGCAATAAATAATAGAATAAAATATTTAATTTTTTGATGATTGTACATTAGGGTGGTAAAAAAAAAAGTAAAGTCGGAAGTTTAATGCTTTCACCTCCTAGAATTTTTCTATATCGAAAAAATATACCGCCTGTTTTTATTTTGAAATTAAAAAATATTTAGAGGTCGCTCAAAGTTTTCCATGTATTTCCAACGTTTCGTAGAAATTGTATAGAATTCTTGAAGATCAATATTTTTCGATCGCAAGAGTGTGGTTCTCTTCAAGATTATTTATTGGTCCCCCCAGTACATTTTCTGAGGTTCTTGGCGGACCTATAAAATATAGTTACTATGAAGAAATGGTTTAATAAACAATTGCGTATTTATATTGGGAAGCTTCTGAAGAGAAACAGAGTTTCCTGATAGAAAAGTATCGATTTTCAAGATTTCTATACTATTTTTATGAAAAGTTGTTTTTTTTTCCATATAAAATACTTGGAAAACTTTGAGCGATCTCTAAATATTTTTTGATTTAATTATTTTCCGTATCGAAAACTCCTTGAGGGTGAGAGCACAAAAATTCCAACTTTACTTATTCACGTGCATTTTTGTACCAACCTATTGTGCCTGGTAGGCGAACGTGATATAAACCATGAGCAGCTTTAATGTCTACAATACACGTACACATTTGCCTACTTTAAGGCGCTTAGCATACACAATCCATTTTAAAGCTTTAAGAAGCTTCTTTCTAGCCTTCACCGCTAAGTATTCGCCCACCACTCGCAGCTACATAAGCAAATTTTGCCAATCTTCCGGTCAATGCTATTCGCACAACTATCTATACCACTACTTATCACTTTTGTTAACACTCACAATAATTTGCATAAGCAATTTCCATTCATAATAGTCGCATTAGATTCTAGTCACGTGCATGATTTAACTTGACACTTTTACAAGGGCGAACAAAATACGTGACTGCGAAGCGCAAGCGCGCAAAATTAGCGAAATAGGCTTGTGAAAATGCTAAACATAAACCCGCTTAGCTACGCAATGAACCGTTGTTCGATGAATGTGGCAATTTGTTATGGCAAAAAAAAGAGGTAAACAAAAAATTTGGAAATAGATGAGGAAAGTAAGGAAAAAAGAAAAATCTGTTAAATCGTATTTTATTTTTCTTTTAAAGAAATTTGAATTCTATAGTTTTAGCACTTTACTTTTACAATTATCGCTAGCCCTTGTTTGTGTGTACATATGTATGTATGTATGTTCTTACTGAAACTTAGTCATCCCAGCGACGTCAAATTTCGCTGCTAATATTAAAAACGCCCTGTTTTTGCTATACAAACTTAATGACTGCGGGAATTTTCGGTTACTAAAAAACATTTTTGAATTTTCACTTGAGCTGCATACTTAAATAGTTGCACGGTTGAATGGCTTAAATGAGCCCTTTACCTTTGGCTCTTAAGAAGGTATACTCAACAGAGAGCCAGCAAGCGTTAGACTCTTAAGGGCTAATAGCTTTAGCTAAGAGAGACTTAAAGAGAATCCATTGAAAGAGCGGTATAGTCATTGTTTTGCACACATACTTTTATATACATACATACATACAAATGTATACCGCTGATAAAATTAGTTGTATAAAATCTTGTGATATTTTAAGGAAAATAACAATAAATACCCCTAGGCATTTTGAAATTGCAGAGCTACATAAATATTTATACAGTACTTTCAACAAGAAGTCACGCGACTTACTCGTTTTTCATTAAGTCTATAATTAAAAAAAAAACTCTTGATTTGAATTGCAAAATATGATCAATCGTGATCTAATGGAAAAAATTCGTATATAAAAATGCAATATAGTAATAGTATTGCTATTAAAAATTTTAATTGATTTCAACTAAAAGCTATTTTTTGTAACTTTTTAATTTTAAAAGAATTTTCAATAATCTCATAATTTTTCTTAGAAAATAATTTTTCCAAAATTTTTTCTAGGTTTTTTTTGAAAGGAAGTTCTTCCAAATTGTGGTTTTCCCCAAAAAAATAATTGTTTGCTCAAAAATAGTGTTTTTTTTTATACATAAGGGTAAATTTCTTACATTTTTGTTAGAAGTTATAATCTTATTTTTTTATTGAGACTATAACTTAACTACAGTATAACTAATAGCAAAGCTATGACTTAAGCTAACTCAAAAAATTCTCTTCATTATTTGTTTCGTAAGAAATCTTACATTAATTTTTCCGAAAAAATTATTGTTACCCAAAAATTTGTATGCTAAAAAATAAGTTTTTGGAATAAGAATTAAAAAGAAATATCTTTTACTATATTTCTTTTGAATTTCGTAAGAAATCTAAAATTAATTTTTCCCCAAAATAATTTTTTTTTACCAAAAAAAAAACTTTTAATAAAAAAATATTAAAATAAAAAGAAAAAAGCAAAATATAGGTAAATATAATTTTTGGAAGAAAAATTTATATCTTTCTTTTACGATATAAATTGCTACTGCAAAAATATTTGTTGCGAAAAATCTTTATTATCCCTTATATGTGTAATTTTTTCCTAATTCAGTTTTTTCCTTAACTGTTTTTTCGTAAAAATTATTTTCCCCAAAAAAATGTTTAAAAAAATGGTTTCTCTAAAACATTCAATTTTCCTAAAAAATCTAATTCCGACAAAAATATTTTTTTCTAAAATTTTCGGATCAAAATATCTAAATTATTATTATTTGTTTTTATTGCAATGAAAATTATAAAACAATATTCAAGCACAAGCAGCAGGCTAAATTAATATTAGACACTTTCTGAAAATAACAGTTACAAAATGATCAAAAAAATTAACATAAAAAATAACGATATAAAATTTATCGCGAAAAAATAAAAACCTTAAAATAACGGCTGAATTTCCTCGGAAAAATAGAAATCCAGCATTAACGGTTTAACTATGAAACTTATTATAAAGATCATTATTTTATATCATTATTACCCAAAAACCTGTATACTAAAAAATATTTTTTTTTTAGAAATTTTTATTTTCAAAAATAAATTTTTTTCTCCAAAAATATTTGTTTCTCATGTTGGGTAAAGTTTTTCTAGTTAGTAATAATAATATTTTTTTTCCTAAAAAACTGCTTTTTCGTAAAAATTATTTTTTTCCCAAAAAAACTGTTAAAAACTATTTTCTGAAACATCAAAATTTTCCAGACGAAAATCTTACTTTGATAAACATGTTTTTCTAATAATTAAATTTTTGCCATTATTTTACTTTTTCTGCTAACATTTTTTTGTCCAAAAAATCTTTGTTTCTTATGTTTGGTAAAGTTTTTCTAATTTCAGTAAATATATTATTTTTTTTAAATTTTTTTTTCTAAAACAATAAAATTTTTTTACAAAATTTTATTTTGATACATTTTTCTAATTTTGTTAAAAATATCTTTTCTGAAATTTCCATATTACCAACATTTTAATTTTTCTGCAAAGATATTTTTTCTCTAAAGCATCTTTTTTTTCTTATTTTTGGTCCATTTTATCTAAGTTCAGTTAAAATACTCGTTTTATTCAAATAAATTTAAATAAAAGGTTATGAGAAAAAGCAATTGCTTAGTTCTTATTCACACGATCCATTTTTTTCCTAAATTATGATTTTTAATATAAATTAGATATTGTTTAAAAAAAAAAATCTTAAAAGACTATTTTTTCTAAAACATACAAATTTTCTCAAAGATGTCCACATAGAACACAAAAGTCAACTTACTAAAGATTTTCTTTTTCTAATAACTTTGCCACAGAGTACGTGTAACGTCGTTGGAACTTTTGTAATTACACACGTTAGAGCTCTAAATTCATTTTAATTAAACGTCCAATACTGTAGAAATTCACATTTTTCATAAAAATTCTTTATTAGCTTTAAATTATGTAAAATTCACAATAATTTTTCGACGCATTTCGAACTTCTTCCATAGTCTGGATTAGAATATATGTATACAACAAGCGTATATACATATGTTCATACATACATTTTCCATCAGCCGAACAATGTAAAAATAACTAAACATTTAATATTTAATGACTTTGTTGTTAGGTAAAAGATTTCATTTCTTACTTATGTTACTTTTTGCTTTTCTTTCCAGGATATTTAAGTATTTATCGAGCAACGCAAATATAATTAGCACCTAGTGAAGGTAAGTAAACAAATAGAAAATGTATACAGATTTTAATAAAACTCTTGAGGAAAATATAGGTATTTGAAAGTGAAACAAGTGCTTGTAGACAACTGTTGAGTTAGAAGTAGCCATGGGTCATTGCGCAATTTTTTTGGCGCTAGCTCAATAACGCCAGCGCCACCTGTGGTGTCAGCGCACTAACCCAGCGCAATAGCGCAGTGTACTGAATTGAACACGGCGCCATCTGAGTGTCACCACAGTACCCAACGTCATACAGTGCAGTACACCATACAGTGGTGTCATGTCTATTATTTCTATAATTTTCGCTGAGCGCTTGTACGCTAAGCAACGCTTGTACCGCCAACTGAATTTAATTGCTAGGGTTGTAGTAAATGCCACGATATTCTATCATTCTTGAGTAAAAGCTTTAAATTTGCGTTCACAACACACAAAAGCAAAAACGAAGTAGGTGTAAATTTCCATAGAGTAAAGGTGAATGGTGTGTGTGCTTCATGTGTTGCTTGGTGTTAATGGCGCTAGCGCTTTCCATATACTAGTGTTGGCGCGGCAACTGCGGATACGGTGTTAACGCAATTGCGCCGCGCAGCGCAGTGTTACCCATGCCTAGTTAGAAGTAAGAGTACGAGTACGCCTATCTGCGGGGTGTGTCAGTCAAAATTGTAAATTAAACTTTTTTTTTTTAATTTCTTGAGAATATTTTGTTTTATTTAAATGGGAATAGGAATTCATTCTCATGAAAATGGAGCAGGCAATTGAGAAGAAGAAAAGTCCTCTCTTGTCATACAAATATGGCACTCGAATGCCCTTGCTGATATGGCGCAGACAATGGCGCATGGACAATGAAAACATCGAATGAGGCGGCTCTTGGAGCTTTCCAGATAAACATATTACAAGCATATATCAGTTATATTCGTCTCCATTCTGTTAAGGTACAATCAATTATTTTAATCTTCAAATGCGATAAGTGCAAGTTGATTAAAGATCGAATAAATGTGTGCGCACAGGTGACAAAAAGCCCCTCCTTTGTCTGCAGTTCATTAAATTTCTAATTAAGTTCCATTGTACGCCGAGGCATTGATTTGTGGGCATTCAAGCGAAGGAAACCCGCAGGCGGTTAGTTCATACTACGACAGTGCAAAATGTAGTTATTGCAGTTATGTATATACATAGAAATACAGAGGCATGCACAAGGCTCTCGTTGTCGGCTGCTATCAATAGCACTTTTAATTAAATGCTATTAAATGAAACATTGATACATTATAAATATGTATATGTATGTAATAAGCTACACGTTAATTCATTAATATGAATGCGTGAAGAGCAAGTCAATGGCGTGCGTCAAGTGGCAAGCATAGGCAGAGGCAGCAAATTTACTTATAATGACCTCTTGATGCATTTACTCAAGCCTGAATGAACTTAATTTCTTTTGTTTTTTGAATTTTTTTTTTTTTTTTGTAAATCAACTGACGTACTTTAGACATAAATTAGTTCAGCAACAGCTAGTCGCCCCGCTCGGTTTAAATAAATTTTCGCTAAAATGACAAAACATCCGTCAGTTAGCCGTCACTCATTGTTGTTGACTTAAATTAAACACTTTCATTATATCATTCTTATCAGTTTGTTTGGTATTTTATCACATTTTTACTATCTATGTATGTACATTATGGTAGTCCAAAAATGTATGTGGGGAAAAAGTTAAGTCGGAATTTTAATGCTCTCACACCCTAGGATTGTTCTTAACCGTGCTGTTTTATTTAAATCAAAAAAATATTTAGAGGTCGCCGAAAAGTTCTCCAAGTATTTTATATGGGGAAAAACTATTTTTGTTTCGTGAAAATGGTATTGAACTCTTGAAAATCAATATTTTTCGATCAGAAAACTCTCTTTTTACTCAGAAGGCTTCCAATAATAAAACCCATTTACTATTTTTTAATAGTATCTAGTGATTTTTAGGGGTCCCCTCATTGCATTTTTGGCGTTTTTAGGGATCCTATAAACAATTGGTAAATTTAAAAAAATGGTCAAATAAGTCATTGGGTATTATTACTGAAAGTTCCCTAAAGATGAGAAAGTTTTCCGATCAAAAATATTGATTTTCAAGAATTCTATACTATTTCTACGAAAATCGAATTCACTTAGCTAATTTTGAACGACCCTAATGTGCATACATATGTGATTCTCAAGTGGATAAACAACATTTTTCCCAAGGTTTGACTAAAATTTGAACAAAGCTTGAATTCAAACTGATATCTAAGCTTTTCTCAAATGGAGAATTTATATTATTTTGCACACAAAAAAATTTGCCTTTTTGTTTAGAGAATTTGTTGGAGGTACACTTGAAAATCAACACTGGACCTTGGAATTTGTATTGGATCCCCACTTGATCGCCAATCCAAATGTTTATTGGGAATTAATTAGCTAGATGGCGTGGGAGTCGACATATTTGAAAAAACCCTATATATAGTCCGATTCGGTTCGCATTTGAAATTAAAATTACCTACAGGGAAGGAAATAAACCAAAAAAAAATTTACAGGTAGCTGACGCAGGGGTCGATATATTTTAAAAACCCGCTTCCAAAAAAAATGCCGATAGTTGGCGCAGGAGTTCATCTTTTAGGAAAACCCTCATTTATAGCCCGATTTAGTTCATATTTAGAAAGCTTGTTTTAAAGACATTTCTTACAATTAAATATTTTTTTTTTTAATTTTTAACCCCCGAGACCACCTACCGAAACACTCAGTGGGATTTTTCAATGACCGAACCAAATATACATACATACGTACATATGTATCTATTAGTAATACATAATGCACTCGCGCGCTCTTTGGCTGATAACATAAATTGCCAAAAAGACGGTCGGTTGCGTGCAGATTAGTGAAACTTTATGGCGTTGCGGCTGTGGATATATTTAGCTTAACAAAGTTTTATTTTTATTACTCCCGAATACCCGGCGTGCTTCGCCGCACCTTCAAAGTATTTTTGTGTTTACTCCCTCTCACTACATACTTCATGCAAAACTCTTAGTTAATATTGCAAGTAACTACAATATGTGTAAAGTAGGCAGATTTTTTTTTTTTTAATTGCAAACAAATTCGATCTCAGATTTTTATGAAAGATAAATATGTATACGGTCTTTGAATGTTTTTTTGCCCACTATTTCAAAAACGACTTATATTGAATTAATACACCTTTGAGGAAAGTAATATTTCATTCAATTTCAGTATTTTTAGTTTTTACTATTTAGCCAGGTGACAACTCTATTAAAAATATTGCAAACAGGGCAATTCTGGCAGCTATCTTTCAACTCACCACAGTCGTTCGTAAGACAATTGTCAATTCTGGCAACAATATCGAAAGCTCTTTACTGTCTTTGGAAAGATTAATTGAAAGATCAGCTAAAGAGGATGTTTTAGCGTTATGCTCTTCACCTTTTAGAAATACGTTTTTTTAATAAAAAAAATATATATATATATATATATTTATTTTTAAAACAATAAAAACTTATAATAAAAGAAAATTAAATAAAACTAAATAAAAATACGTAAAATGAAAATAAAGCAAACCGAAAAAAAGTTTTTTTTTTTGTAAATTAAATTAAATTTAAAAAAATATATATAATTTTTTTATTTTAAAAGAAATAGATCTAAAAATGTAATGAGAAAAAGAAAACAATTTAATAAAAAACAGAAATTAGAATTAAAAAATTAAGTAAAATAAAAAAAAATAATTTTATTTTTAAACCAACATCTTAAAATTGAAGAAAATTAAATTGAAAAGAGACAAAAATTAAAATCCAAATAATTAAATGAAATAAATAAACGATATTTTTCTTTTCAAATCAGCAAAACATAAAAATTAAAAAAAAAACGAAAATAACACAGGAAAAATAAATTAAGTTATAATTTAAATTTAGAAAAAAGATAAATAAAAAAATTCTGGAAATAAAATAAAATTAAATATATTTTTTATTTTATTTTTTTTTTTTGAAAAGTTGACAAAAACTAAGCTAAGAAAAAAAGTATTAAAAGAATAAAAAATAAGTACCTAAAAATAAAATGAAATAAGAGAAATATGTTTTTGCTTCTAAAATAATAAAATATAAAACCTAAAAGAAAATTGAATTAGAAAACAAAAAAATTTTAATAAAAAAAACTCTGCTTTGCTCA